TACCTGTGCCGATCAAGAAAGGCTTCTTTGTCGGCGCGGCGCGTCCAGACTGCCCCGATCTGCCGACAAACAGCTGATCAGCAGAGCGGGCCAGCCATTTAAATTTAAATGAAGCCGCGATTATTTTAATCGCGGCTTCATTCCCCTCTGCCGATCTGGCTAATCCACATGCCTCCGTCGAAGGAGGCATGTAGTCTAGACACACCCTAAGTGGAGGGGAAAAAAGATTTGCTGATAGTTATTAGAAAGATGAATGTGTCCAAGAACATATACCATGAAGCAGCAGAATCATAATATTTTGTGCCACACATGCTAGGTTTAGGTTTAAGAGTAAACTGTGACTTCCCCAGGTTGGCTAAGATAATAAAGGGATAAATTCAACATAGGTACTCAAATGTTAACAAACTTTTAGCAAGCCTGGTTGGAGTTTTGGGTCTGTAGAGAAAAGAGACACCAAGTCTTACCAGGTTTGTTGTTTCCTTATTATCTAGCAAACAGATTTGGGGCCTTATTAATTTTTAAGGAAATAGGGCTCCCACCACTTTTCTTGGGAGACCCATAGCCTCACAGCTCCTAGTCTGAAAGATTTTCCTGGTACTCAACCTAAAGTTTAATTTCCTTTTTTGTTTCTCAGTACTTGAAGTGCCTTCCCGAGTCTCCATAACATTTCTTGTCCCTGCTGGAGCATGATTAGTACAAGGCAATGGAGAATTGGGTCCAGAGGATCATAGCTCATGCTTTCATTCCTTTTCCTCCCACTGTTTCATGATTTATAGTACATGTATGCTGCTTTGTACTTACTCATATTTATTTCAGGCAGGAAAAGTTCACTTTGGCTATGTATACGGCATCAGTGCTATTGGGTGCCTAGGAATGCATGTTTTACTGAACCTGATGAGCATAGCAGGAGTCTCCTATGGTTGTGTTGCAAGTGTATTGGGCTACTGCCTGCTACCCATGGTGGTCCTGTCCAGTTGTGCAATCTTCTTCTCATTACAGTAAGTATCAGAGTATTAGGGCAGAACTCATAAAGATTACTGTATTTAAGTCTAGTTTTATACAGATTTTATTAATGCTAAGATTAGGGGATGCTTTATATTGCCAAAAATGGAAGAAAAATATCAGTAAAAGAAGGATCTAAAAAAAATGGTAGTATCTTCATGTGGAAATGGACAAAGCATGTATGTGAACAAGAGGGTGTATGTGGGATTTTATTTCTAGAATGGTTCAGAGATGTGTCCCACTTTATACAAACTCTCAAAATGTGGTGAATGTGATAAATAATTCCAATTGGAACAATCTTTATTTAAAATAAAATCATGCTCAAAACTGAGACCAGCTTTGATTTAACAGATCTCCTTTACTTTGTGGTTCAGATCCAGGTTTCAGATCTTTGTACCAACACTCGGTGTTTGCATGGGTTTGGATAAATGATTTTAACACTGGTCTAACTCTAATTTCACCTGCCTTAACTTCTGTGATGCTGGCAGACCAGGTGCCAACTCTTATCAAGGCTTTATGCCTTATCCCAGCCCTGGCAAATTCATTGCTTGGAACCAGCATGTTTCACCTATGTGTTGGTATGCTTTACATTGGTATTGGCCTTTTAGCAATATGTTTGGTATTTGGCCTTTATTAATGCTTCTAAGTTGCTGCACATGTTAATCTTGCTTATAATTTCTTTATCACCTGCTATAAAGCAATATTTAAGTTTTTGTTTTATATATAATAGATGTTTTGTCTGAAATTGTGAACCCAGTCAGGAGAGATTGTCTCCTGCCCATCAAAAGGGCCTATCAAAACTGAATGGGCCATTGTGAGACATCACACTGCAAAGACATTGTTACTTTCCCTCTTACATTCATGAGAGGCTACTTGTAAAAGGTTCATCCTATCAGCTTGAATTCTGGAAGGAAATAAACATAACCGGCAAGAACATTTTAAATCTTTTTTGCTGTTTGGACTTTCATGGGGCCAGCACTACAAAACAGATGCATAGATCCCCAGAGGCAATCTGGGTTAGCCCTAAAAGACATTCAGAGCTGACAGACTGCTTTAACACTGTCACCTTTTAAAACTGTAGCCTATAGCTCATTTGTGCATATATGCTTTCTTGCTTTAACCTTGAAATTACCCTTTCATTTATTTTCTTAGTTAATACATTCTTAGATTGTTTGTCAATACATGTTGTCTTTAGTATGAGATCTAAGGTACAGTCTGACCTGGGGTAAATGGGTGGCCCTTTGGGACTGGGAATAACAGGAATATTTTGTGATCTTTTGTGTAGGTAGAGCAACCATCTATCAATAAGTCCACTTTTTCTGGGTGGCAAGATAGATTGAATGCCTAAGGGGACTATCTCGGACTCCATAGTAAGACTGTTATACTTGTTCACACTTGTTATTGAGTTGGTGGAATCTAATGATAGATACAACCAGTTTAGAGTCTCAGTCCTACATCTTAACAGTCTGCCCTGTGGTTTGCCGTATAGTTGTAGCCAGAGCTGTAACAAGGGTGGGGCAAGTGGGACACTTACTTCAGGCACAGTACCTTTAGGGGCACAACACTAAAAATTAGAAAGTTAAAATATTATTTCATTTATATATTTACTATCATCTATTTGCAATCTCAATATATGTGCAAACAACAACATGTGCAATGAATAAAATTAATACAAAAAACTAAGAATTTTATCATTTTGGGGAGGGGAGGGGTGGAAGCAGTTTAGTAGCTTGCCCCAGGTGCAGAAAACCTTAGTTTCAGCTCTGGTTGTAGCTGTGTTAATCTCAGGTTATTAGAAAGTCAAGGTGGATGAAATAGTAGCTTTTATTGGACGAACTTCTGTTGGTGAGACTCGGGGGCTACGTCTACACTGGCCCCTTTTCCGGAAGGGGCATGTAAATTTCAGGAGTCGTCGTAGGGAAATCCGCGGGGGATTTAAATATCCCCCGCGGCATTTAAATAAAAATGTCCGCCGCTTTTTTCCGGCTTTTAAAAAAGCCGGAAAAGAGCGTCTAGGCTGGCCCCGATCCTCCGGAAAAAGTGCCCTTTTCCGGAGGATCGGGGCCAGTCTAGACGCTCTTTTCCGGCTTTTTTAAAAGCCGGAAAAAAGCGGCGGACATTTTTATTTAAATGCCGCGGGGGAGATTTAAATCCCCCGCGGATTTCCCTACGACGACGAGTGAAATTTACATGCCCCTTCCGGAAAAAGGGCCAGTGTAGACGTAGCCCTCCTGTCTTTTTCTATCCCTAGTTTAAGCATGTGAATATGAATGTTATAAATTAGAGAAAGAAAATAGCTATTATGTCAGCTGTATATCCCAAGAAAGGAACTTAATTTGAAATCTGTGTCATGTTCTATCTGGCAACTGAAGTGTAACAAGCAAAGCTAAATGCTCTTCTTCAGGTCTGGGAAATGTACTTAGAGTGCCTATGTTTCGCAGACCTGAAGAAGAGCTCTGTGCAAACTCAAAAGCTTGTGTCTCTCACCAACAGAAGGTGGTCTAATAAAAGAGCTGACCTCAACCACCATGCAATGAGGTTGACGCTCACAGTTGTGAGCCACTCCAGACTGCATTATATCTGTTTCCCAATGAGGTTTACCAGTTATTTCAAGAGAAGGGTTTTCTCTCGAAATAATCGTGTCCTAACAGCGTCTGTTATTTCGAAATAGCGCTATTTCGAAATTGCGCCATAACATGAATATGCAAATGAAGTGCAGGATATTTAAATCCCGGCTTCATTTGCAATTTCAAATGTCTTCATTTGCATTCCTCTCTTGAAAGAGGGTGCAAGTGTAGACATGCCCTCTGTCTGTGTGTCCAAGAACTCTTCCTAAATGGTAAGAGCTAGGACCATGCATATTTAGTCTTATTATTACTAAGCAAGGTAACGGCTTGGTTGTTCCAGGAAAATGGGATGTACCTGGAATGGGCTTGCTATTCATCTAACCATACAGAAAAGAGACAGACTTTTCAGGCAGGTGAAAGGGGCTGACTGGGGGCACACACTCCTCCCTGTCCGGGACTGCCTGAGCCCCAAGACTCCTTTAGAGAGGGCTGGAGGGGGGAGCTGAAACAATTTTTCAGCAATTTGTATGAGAACATTGCCGGCTATTCCCCTTCATCAGGGAGTGAGGGGAAAGTGCTCAGTTTGCTGCATTTCCTCACTCTGGCTGTGGAGTGTGGGGGGCAGATGAACCTGGACCTGCCCCAGCCAAAGGACATGCATCCCTCTCCAAGGTGTGTCCGCTGGAGCTGCAGTAACCATGGCAAGGCACTTCTCACTTGGCCCCAACCTGCTGCAGTCAGAGAGGACTGGGATAGTTCTCTTTTCCCTGAGAAGCCTGCACACTGAACCCCTCATCCCCATCCCCATCCCAGAGCAATGATTTAAATGAAGCATGTACATTTTAATTTTATTTTCCAAAAACCAAAAATTAATTGAGTTAAGGATCCAAGCAATACTGGATAAATCTTCTAGCATATAATAATCAATACCTCTCTGCTTTTTAAACTTTTCTATTTTGCATGGTAGGTATGGAATGTGCCTTGCATGGTTAGACGACTGCAGCTAAAAATGTAACGCTATACTCAGTAACTTTATTTAGAAAAGCAGCAATTAAGTATAAATATTGTTTTTCAGCAAATGTTTGTGTTGGCATAAGTATTTTTAGCACGCTGACTTAGTGCCCTTACTCAACATTTCCATGGAGCTGCTATAGTCTATCCTGGCCTTAAGCCATGAATTCAAGAGTTTCATGATGGACAGTCAGGGAACCCTCTGTTGTCTCAGTAATATGCATATTTACTCAATTAACCTGATTAATCACTTGGATTTATAAAAGGTGCACATATGTATTTACAGGACATATGGAGCTAACTTCAAAGCAGCTGTTACAGTTGATCAGGATGCTAGTGTCTGCTTCAGAAAATTCCCAAGCACATACAGTACATTTGTAATATGCTGTAAACCTACTAAAAGTCTATCTTTAGAAATCTCAATATATTGTGCAGTGGTAGCTCTTAAAACTTGCCAGTTTTATCAGAAATAGATAGGATTACATCAGTTTCTGCAATGTTCCCTTGTGAGTCCTTGAATACTTTATAGGAAATGCCTTAAATACAACAAATAGTGAGGGTCATCTAACTGACAGCTATTAATAGCAACTGGCAGTTTTCAGATTTTTTTTTTAACAGAGCAGATCAAAAATAGCAGAGAAGAAGTAGAATATATTTTGTGATTTTTTTAAAAATCTGTTTTGGTCAAAGCTTGAAATTTTGATGAAACAATTTGTCAATTTGTAATTTTAAATTTTGTGAATAACTTTAGTTTGGTCCTTTTCCACAGAAAATTTACCTAAGTTGAAGAACATACATGTTACAAAGAAAGAGAATTATGTTATTAAAAACAACTAATTTTTTTTACCAAAAATAGCTGTCATATTTTTTTTACAAAATCAGCCATTTCATTTTAATTTTGAATGAATCAAAATTTGAGACAAGGAGGTAGCAAAATGAAACAAAAGAAATGGCCAATATTTTCATGCAAAAATTTATGAAACAAAATTTATTTTTTCATGTGTCAGTATAAAATGGCACTATGTCTGATCACAAGTTGCTTGAATAATTAGTCTGGACATAAATAGTGTCCGATAAGAATAGATTTAAATACATAGTTTGCAGATCTCCCCCTTCAGCAGAAAAGCCCTTCTTTACACAAAGTCCTTCAACAGAGTGAATATCCTGTTTTCTTGGTCTGTGAAGGGGAGTGGTAAGAGACTGAGAAATGGATTCCTTGTTCCCAGTTTGCATCAACTGGTGAAAAGACACTGCTCTATGGGCACATGGTCAGCAGTTATTCCTCAACTTCATGCTCTGGTCAATAGAGCTGCAAACCTGGTACTAACCTAGCTATCCCACAAATCCCCTTCCATGTTCCTGTGCATATTGCTACCTCTGAGCTTGGCTCTATGAGACATAAATCCAGCCTACCTGAATAGGCTGTGTTGTCCAGGCCATCGATGCATTATAAGCACAAAATTGATTTTCAATACTTTCATGCTCCTGCAATGTGCCTGAGAATTTGGCTGTCATGGACACTACAGGTACCAGGCCCATATAGTAGCTAACCCATTTATTCCAGCAGAAATATGCGGTTAGACTGACAGCTGAATCTTTAAGTGCACCAAATCAGTTCTTAGTTCATTGGGCCAACCAATGGTGACTTGATGCCATCGCTATCAATCCTGGAGCCAGCCTGAGGTGGCCAATTTGGCCCTCCATGCCAGGTAGAGCAGCCACAGTCCTACTCTAAATTGCATCAGTTTCTCATTGTTTCCCAAAGTATGATGTTGCTAGATGGGAATTGCCATTGCACAGCATGCATCTGACATGCCTCTAGTAAGCACTCTATGCCAATGAGACAGAGAAGGAATGATGTGTGAGCCCGTGTAATGATCACAAGCGAGTGATACATGATACAAGACATTGTCTTTTCTGAAGGTCAGAGCACGCTCATATCAATGTCCTCAGTCTAGATCATCAGGCTGCTTTGGCAAAAAGGGCAAATCTGTTCAGTCCCATTTAATCATAACATATCGTCCATGTTAATTTTAGCTGCAAGGACTTTATTCAGATTGGAATGTAAAAGCTCAGAGTCCTGTTTTGCTTACAGCCCTAAACAAAGTAGTTGGAAGCTTGCTAGTTTTCCAAGTAATATCACTGACAAAGCTGTTTCCACCTGAAATGGAGCAATGCCATTTTGCCTGATGCTGTATTCTAATTCACTGCTCAACCTTGACTTTCATTACATAAATCATTTCTTATTTGTCCCTGTGACTACTGTCTTGTTAACAATAAGATCCTAGAGATGAATTAGAGTTCGGTAAGATTTTATTCTGCACATATTAACCAGTGGATTCTTTTTGTTTTATTTTTGCTTCTTAGGGGGATACTTGGTACCTTGTTAGCTCTGATTATTATTGGATGGTGCAGCTTGTCAGCTTCCAAAATTTTTATCTCTGCATTGGCGATGGAAGGCCAGCAGCTTCTCGTGGCTTATCCCTGTGCTCTACTTTATGGACTTTTTGCACTTCTGACTGTTTTCTGAAATGTACATTGTAGCAGCCTGACTATAGTCTCTTTGTTTGGGTGTTCTTACTTTTAGTCCTCCTCGATTCACACTAAACTCCATTAAGCAAAATAGAGGATGATTTACCTTTTATTTGCTTAATGGACGATGGATAAAGAAATAAAAACAGGACAATACATTTAAAAATGACATTCTAAAAGTCTCAGATCTTAAAAACATTTATCTCAGAAATTAGTAGGACATCTTAGGCATGAAATATGCAAAAAATGTAATTAAAAATGATATTGTGTACTTAGTGTTTCTCTGGGGATAATCTATATTGTGAAAGGGCTAAGTGAAAGGCAATAACAATGCAGTGTTTTGTGGGTTTAGTAACTCAAGTGAAACATTTAATTGTTTTAAATATACTCAGTTTGATATTTTATATGATTTTTTTTAAAAAAGGTTGATTGCTTTTTGTTTATAAAGGGGTGGGAAACCTCAGGCCTGGGGGCCGAAAGTGTCCCCAGGCTTGACTAGATCGGGCCCCCGAAGCTCTGGGCCCTCCCCCAGCATTTGGGAGCTGACACCGGTACTCCAGATGCCCTGATGCCACACCGTGGGGCTGAAGCACACAATATCTATTAGGCTGGGTCCCCCTAGGCTCCGGTGTGCAAGGGGAGTGTCTTTCTCCTTCTCAGTCAGGGGTACATCAGTGAGGGTTTTTTTTTCCTCACTTGTGTGTAGCCCCCAACTGATTTTTCTGTGGGTCAGTGAACCTAAAAAGGTTCCCCACCTCTGGTTTATAATGAAGAATTGCCAAAGACAGACAGCAAGAGCAAGTTTTACAGTACAAAGTAAGCAAACTAGGAACGTCATTCTATTTTTTTAAGAAATGTGGCTCTGCAAACCCCCATTGTACTGTACATTATGTACAGTACTGCTAGAGTCTAAAATTGCCACTAAACCACTACCTGCTGTCACTGCAGAAAAAAACACTGCACAAAGCAAAGGTAACTACTAAATATGTCTCCTGAAAGGCAGAACTGCATTTGTGCAGGCAAAGTACAAATCTCCCCCATTTTGTGTACAGAAAAAAAAATCAATTTACTGTTGTTAGTATTACAGCAACATTTTTCTAACAGTGCTAGAGCAGAGATTGCACAAAATATTTCAAAATATACTATTTGGGATATTAGGCCATAAGGATGTAGTGGCATGCTTAACATTGTAAAAGGCGGAATCTTGGATTAGTGAAAGAAGTATGTAGTCATAAAAAGGCTCGAAACGCAACCGTGTAAAGGCAGAACTGAATATTAAACTATCTGCAAATCATTTAACCAGTGTTTTTACACATTTTTTTCTTTGAGGCATTGTCACTGATTTTCTTCAGTGTATTCATGATTCAAAACTATTTAGAGAATTTTCTGCTAAATATTTTACCTTTGTGGATTGATAGTGAATAGTTGTGTGTAGGTATTCTGTATTCACTATCAGAACTGACTAGAGCCCTGATCCTGCAAAGAATTTTCCACACATTAAACTCTGTGCTGTGTGAGTAGTTACACTGACCTCAATGAAGCTACTTGGAGTGTGTAAAACCAATAATCTTTGTAAATCTTTACAAGGTAGGGACTTGGGCTAGTTGTGATTGCTCAGATAAGCTACATGTTGCATGTTTCTATTCCCTTTTTGAAGGAGCTCCATGAGCACTTATGGCACAAATAGTTGCCTGTGCAAATTTAGTAGCTGATAGCTCTGAATGCTTGTGTGGGCAGCTCTGAAATGTGGTTTTGCTGAACTTCAGCACAACTTGATCACATTAGAATTGTTGGGAAAAAAACACAAAAGGGATACAAACATGGCCTGACCAAATGCTTTTAGTAATTCCACTAATTATTTTGGAAAAATATTTGCTGTATTCATCCACGTCCCTCAGTCGGGAAAGATTCATACAGAGCTTCCCCTATTTTCCACAACATAGCAATAAGACAAATCAAATAAATAGTTAAGGGTTATGTTTATGTTTTATGAGAGTTTTAAATGTTTTTCATTTTAAAAAATGATACATTCAATGCCTGATACTTTTGTCCTGCATATTGTATAGCCATTTCCACCAATGCAATACCAGTGTAAAAAGCTTCTATTCTGATGTGGCAGTATTTTATATTCACTTTCCACTCACTCTGCATTAGGGCAAATGATTACAGAAAGTACAGGGCAGCAATGAATCAAACCCCCTATATTATGTTTTTATGTTAATAAACAAGTATAATTTAAGGAAATAATGGACATCTTACAACTTTGCCATCAAAGGACTATCAACATAGTAAATACAGACTGAAGAGAAAATGTGTGATGCAAAGTGATGTAACTATTGTTATTAATTGATTCTCCTTATTAAGTTCCAATATGTGCTTCCCAAAGTGAAAACAAAACATATCCCAAAGCTCTTACTTCCAAAGGAAAACATGCAGAAGTTGACAATGGGATTCTGAGGAAAGAACATAAGTTGGTGTTTGTGTTTACTTGTGTTTGTTATCCCTGTTGGCTAAGCAAACAAAGAAAAGTGTGTTGTTAGAGGAGTTAGTGTGTTTATAACACAGTGAGTCATTATCTATCTCAGGGTATGTCTACACTACCCTGCTAGTTCGAACTAGCGGGGTAATGTATGCATACCGAACTTGCTAATGAAGCCCGGGATTTGAATTTCCCGGGCTTCATTAGCATAAAGCCGGCGCCACCATTTTTAAAAGCCGGCTAGTGCGAACCCCGTGCCGCGCGGCTACACGCGGCACGGGCTAGATAGTTCGAACTACGTAGCCATTCCGAACGAGGAGTACAGATAGTTCGGAATGGCTACGTAGTTCGATCTATCTAGCCCGTGCTGCGTGTAGCCGCGCGGCACGGGGTTCGCACTAGCCGGCTTTTAAAAATGGCGGCGCCGGCTTTATGCTAATGAAGCCCGGGAAATTCAAATCCCGGGCTTCATTAGCAAGTTCGGTATGCATACATTACCCCGCTAGTTTGAACTAGCGGGGTAGTGTAGACATACCCTCAGTGTGCTTCATAACTTTGCATATTTAGGTCTACAGTCCTCTTTACCAATGTGACCAGAAGCCAATGGATGTATGTTGTAGGAGCAGTGACTCTGCAGAATCCTCACCTTCCCTCTGAACCTGCAGAAGCTTCTTTGTCCATGGATTTAGGGGTTCTACAGATCGGGACAGGCTGGGACTGAAAACACATACATTTATGGCCACCCCCTACTTTGCTCATGATACCTCAGATCTCTTCCATCTGAAAGCAGAATTCCAGGGTGACAGCACTTCTTTAGCCTCTCTCAGCTTCTTTGTTTGTCTGGTCAGTATGACCAAAATGAATTCTATAGGCTGTTATTTTTGTAATAACAACCCTCTGCTACTCTCCTATATATATAACACCAGTGGAACCAAATTTTTTTGTTTTTTATTTTAATTTTTTTATACATATTTATATTGTGTGTTTTTTTTAAATATAAGCTGGCTTGAATATTTTAAATAGAGAGGTGGGGTAAAATATTTTAAATATATAAATAATAAATAAATAAATTAAATTAAATGTAAAGAGACAATAGGCTAAAAATTATCAGGCTTCACATTGCTTTGTTTTGGATATACTTCTTCCAAAACCAAATCATGATGACTGTACTTTTCCATTTGTGCCATGCTATTTCATTCCCCCACATCCCTGCATGAAAGATTGAAGAAAACTGTGCTAGGCCATTAGTTTCATGTTGCTAAATAGAAGATTATAAAATACTAATTGTTCACTGTGTGATTTTTAATGTATGGGTCTTCCTCTCCTCATTCCGTTGCCAACTCCATTGGTTCAACAATCGTGAGTTAGAACCCAGCCAATCATTAGATTTGGCTAAAAATCATTAGCTTTTAAAAAGAAGTTAGTATCTGCTGATTTCTGACGTATCCATAAATGTGAGAATTCAACCCTGAATATTTACAAATTGCACACACAAAAAGCCTGTTATTTAGCTTCTGTTCTCACACTTCCAAAAATGATTCCAACAGTGCACACGTAGTATATAAGAAGCAAATTGGCAGTCCTGTTACAGAGATATGGAGGAAATGTTCCAGATGGTTCTGTGGAAGGTATGGTCTACTAGATTGAGAAATTGCCACAAAGTGGGAGACTTCAGAGCAGATTATCTGCCATTTCCAGAAAGTGAACAGGTTGTTACAGTTGATGCTTTGGAGTGTCCTTATGTTTTCCCATCAGGAAGCCACAGACTCCTCTAAAACAGAGTGGAGCATAAAGAGAATCTAGAGAATAGCTCCAAGCGGATAAATGAGAGAAACCCCTTGAGCGATGTCTGTCTATCATGTTTCAGATCACAGTGACTATGGTTTTATTAACAAAAGGCTATTGAAAGACAACTTGATGTCAGTAAAGAAAGTGAGCTCTGCTGCTATTGATGTGAACTGTTTTCTAGTCTTTCTATACATAGAGCCAAATTCTCTGCTTTTGTAAATTGAGAAAATGCCATTGAGTTCAAAGAACCCTGTCAGCTTATATCAGTACAAAATCTGATCCATATTTACTGGACAGTTAATGTTAATTTACCTGCATACTCTCAGTGAACTTCTGCAATCTCATACAGCGTAATTAGTTTTTAAATAATATAGAGGGTTTTCTGTGTCTCTGTAATTAGCTTGTAAATTGAAGTTCTAAGCTTCTGTGTTTTAATTGCTTCTCCAATAGAACATGTCCTGCTTTCTTATTGACCTGTTTATTTATTGGTGTGTGAGTATAATAGATGGATAAAAATAACAGTTGGAGCAACAGCTTTAGCCATAGGTGCTGGAACTAGCAGTGTAGAGGGTGCTGCAACACTTGCTGGTTCAAAGGGGTTTCCACTGTATACAGGGTTTACAGTTTGGTTCCATGGCTCTCAGCATCCCCACTATAAAAAATTGTTCCAGTACCCCTTGGCGTTAGCTAAGGTTGCCTAAACATTTTCATTCTAACACCCTCTTTCAGTTGCTTATTCTTTTCTGAAACTTTAGCCATTGTGCTGAAATTGTCTAGGACTTGGGCCTGCTTCTTCATTGCCATAAACCTTGTGTGATCAATTGCACTTGTGTAAAGTGATGAGAGAAAAGTGAATGTAAAACACTTGTAGTAGTGGATAAAAGGTCCTTGGTCTTCCATGATTTTACTTTTTGCAAGTTTGACAAAGAACAGTTCGGGTCTTTTGGAGCACACTCTTCTCACTCAAAACACATTTTGCAACCTTTTTAATACTTCTAGGTTTGAACCAGTTGAAGAAGAAAAAAGTTGAAATGACACGAAAGATAATAACCCTTAAAGAGAGAGAAATGCCTTTCATTTTATAATGAAAGTCCATTTGACTTTGCCAAATTAGGGAGGTTTGAAAATCATAGCTAGCATGTCTGCAGTAAATTAATGACAATAGCACTTTCTAATAACCACCAATACCAACGGAAGAGTGCTGCAGGGAGTATATGACATCTTTTTTGCATATTAAAAAAAACCTGAAAGCATGCAGTGTTTGTTGCTCACTAGGTCCTACACCTTCTTTGGTTACCATGCACTTGTAGGTGTTGTTCACTGATTGCCCTGTGCAACTCAATGCATATTTCCAGGAGTTTTAAATATACAATTAAATGCACTCTCTATGAATGAGGCAAAAGCTCTGCAATAGTGATTGGCCTGGATCCAAAAAAGGGGCTTAGCTGTTACTGTGCCTAAGATTTACGTCTGCAACAACTCTGCAAAGTTTAGCCCACAGAGTCTGTCAGGTGTCTATGCTCCAAGTACAGGGAATGTAGCTAGAAAGGCAACTTACAATGTGATCCCCAAAGCAAGCAGATTAGCCAGTGAAAGATGAAGAGGGGAGGTGTAAGTTCTAAGCTCCACTCCCTCACTAGAGATACGTGCGTATGTCTAAGCAACAGAGAAGCACCTGTCTCTGTTAGCAACCCACAAACTAGAAGTAGATAGGCATTCTACCACCTCTGTCATGTGGTAAGTCCCAAGGACCAATCCAGTAAGTACGCTTGGAGACTCTCTAACTCTATGCAAGCAATTGAAAGAAATGGGCAAGGATTTCATTACAACTTTTCAAGTCCCCCTCTGGCTGATGAGCAGAAAAGATATGACTAGGAATGTGCTACTTCTAGGTGAGCTCTCTAACCAGAAGACTATAGAGTAATTTTTACTCGTCTGGTTCAAATATGATTTAATTAGTTGACTACAATGGAAAAACCTCCATAGGAGAGCCCCATTTCAGAGCATTTCTTAGCTAAGTGGTTAGGACACT